AGAGTTGGTGGGTATGCTAGACGGACCTTTTACTATAGGGTCGAAAATAAAACCCTCGCGTACCTTTTAGGGTCATGAGCTGACTCCGTAGCTTTTAGGATCAATTTTCGGACAAGGAAAAAAAATTGAAGGAGTGTTAATAAAGAAATAGATTTTATTAACCTCAACAATCTATCGACATTGATTTTCTACAGTTTGTTAAAGTTGGGCTTTTGTTTTGTTAAAGACGTCAAAAATGGTCGTACCTTTAATTTTAGGGTCTGGAATTGATTCTGAATTAATTTATGCGTACCTTTTAGGGTCATTTTTCAATCCGTCCATCGAGCATACCTACAGCTTTTTCCCGATTGTACATAAATGTGATCTTTGAAGGGAAAAAATCGATTTGTTGTTTTAGAATATTGTTTAATTGATTTCATAGCGGAGATCCCTTCGGCCCGCGCGAGCGGAGCACCATAACTAAGGAAAAATGGTAAACCCATGGGGTTGAGTTTTGATCAACCGACACAGGAAGCCCAGTTATCCTTCCGTACGTCCGTCTGTCCGTCCGTGTACATCGCGATTCTGATTGGCTACTTTTGAGAAGGCGGGAAAAGGAAGCGCACTCGCGTCAATTTTTGAAACAACTTTTTCACCACAACGACGACACAACGACTCCATTTTTGTGACGAAGGCCTTCTGGGAAGGCTTCGTCNTCGGACGTCTACAATGGCGGACATAATGTGTTGTTGCTAAAGATGGATTTTTCCCCGTCTTCACCGATACAATTTTGATAGTCCTTAATGTATCACATGCAGACCCCAATATGGAGGGGTGGATTTATAAATATTGATAGATRAGAGAATTAAAGTCCATTTATAAATCTTAGATTGAAAGTATTCGATCCCGGGGTGGGGGGGGYWRKAWTTTRSGYKKAKSGYAAAAAAAATTGAAGAAGTGTTAATAAAGAAATAYATTTTATTCACCTCAACAATTCGATCAYCATTGATTTTATACAGTTTGTTAAACTTGAGTTTTTGTCTTGTTAAAGACYTCAAAAATGGTRGTACCTTTAATTTTAGGGTCTGGAATCGATWCCTGAATRAATTTATGCGTACCTTTTAGGGTCATTTTTCAATCCGTCCGTCGAGCATACCTACAGCTTTTTCCCGATTGTACATAAATGTGATCTTTGAAGGGAAAAAATCGATRTGTCGTTTTGTTAGAGTATTGTTTAATTAATTTCATATCTTTTATATGCTCTTTGAGATATGGCATTTCAAAGTCGGCCTGGACTGGAGGAAATAGGGGAGGAATCAGGAGGAATTATATTCAATTTACCCACGTAAACATGATATGTGACGTCACATTACGTCACCGTGAACCCTATGACAACAACATTATATAAGAAAAGACTTTATATGAATATGACCTGCCTGTGTCAAGCATATTCTTCAGTWGTTTGGGTTACCTGTGCTGCTTTGATAGATTATTAGGCGGACTAGCCGAAGGCTAGTTCGACTTAAGTTTTACCTTTTTGCCTATCTAGCTATCATGTCGCGTTTTGACCACCGGAAGTTAAGAATCTAATAATTAACTATTGGGTTGGCTGTGTTATTGCATGACCGGAAGCTCAAACGTATAGATGTACGAATACGGTTAATAAATGTTAGATTCTACTTGCGCTTTTATGTGATAAATATAGTTTATTTCATGGAAAGTGCGACGTACGGGATTTTATTCACGAGTTGTTTGCATCATACAACGAACGAGCGAGGAGCGAGCGA